CCCGAAGCGTATGGGACACAACGCATAATGTTTTATTTGCTATGTTCCCAAAATTCGAATTGTGAAGAGGAATTCCGTAATCATAATCGAAATTTTAAGAACACACTAAGTACCTTTGACTAAATTTATTAACATTTCTCAACCTAAGCCTTTAGATTTGAAATGAAGCATAATATTCTCTCCCTTAATTATAGCAAAACAACTATTCCATCCTTACAACTTTGCAAAGAATGACTCTTGTTTTCTATAATTAATATTGCCAACTTGCAATACCTTTCTTAATAATCATACAATCATAACATTTATGCTCCCACTATCATGATGATTATTATAAAAGATAACACTTATGCTCCTACTAGCTTCGACATGTATTTATAAACATCTTAACTTTCAGAAAAACAATACCTATTGAATTTCTTAAGTCCATGTTTCTAATACTTAGTGCTTTGATAATCTTTTATCAAATCTTCTTTAACTTATACACATTTGCCTTAGATAGTTCATATGTGTGTCTAAACAATTAAGACTAATCGCCAAACCTCACAACTCAAATCATGGAAAGGGATACCGTAACAATAATCGAATGTGAGAATGCAATTTTACAATCACTATCCTTTTAAAATCTTTCTTAGTGAAAGCATTTCCTCACAATCATTTTCATGAAGGAGGAAATCTTACTTAGATATAAACGGTGTATGTGTTCCTATCCATGTGAATTTGTTAAAACCAAAGTTTACGACAAATTCAAACTCATCTTGATTTCTTGCCTTATGGTAGCACTGCTGCCCACCATGTCTTCCAAGTAGTTAAGCAGCTCACCTTTTCCTATCAATGTACCTTTCATTGATCAAGGTGCGTTGCCTTTTATGCGTTCAAAATGAGAACTCATAGAACTCACATGCATAATTAACTCAATTGGAAACCGCATAGAAGCAAAATAATGTCAACACGATAGGTTGTAAACCTCAACTCGTGTGCTAGTGATGATCGATAAGGTTTATTTGATTTGTTCTTGAAACCTTTCAAGATCATTAAGACTCCCACTGACTCCTTGACATATAAGATTCTCTTGTCAGTAACCATTTCTTGACAAAACAAATATTCAAGAGTTAGTGTAGCTTTTATCAAAACACTTCATAAATTGGTCCTAGTTGGCCTTTGTCTTATCCAAGACATCACAACTTTCCACATTTGATGAATGTTATAAACCTTCTTAATAGTTTTCACTAAATTTCACAATCTTAACTTTAAGAATTGTTATTGGAACGAAGTATGATTGACTTCTTGATTTAACCATTTCTTCAATTCTTGATTCCTCTTCTTAAACATACAATTGTACTAAGACTCACTTAGAAGATCAATTGAGATATGGTTATTAATCATTAAGGCCTATCATAAAGCATAAAAGCTACTCTCCCTTCTTCTTAGAACGGAGAAACTTTTATCTTTCTGCCTACTTGATTCTTCTTATTCGTTTTGCTATTGATTTAAACATTTTTAATCAATTCCGAATTACACTTAATCTTATAATTATAATCATATTTACTAAACTTTTAGTAAACCATGATGAATATCTTGTTGCTCTTAAACATTTTTAATCAATTCCGAATTACACTTAATCTTATAATTATAATCATATTTACTGTACTCGATCTCCTAGTCCTTCACTTGACACTTTGTCAACAAGTTAGTCTAATTTCCAAATATGAAATTTCTCATTCATCGTGCAACCAAGTGGTGTGATTTCAAATTTCTGTCCAATTGAAACTTGGGTGATGAGAAACTCTCCCTATTTGGTAAATTCTCTACTCTTCCATAAACACCATAAACAAGAATCATATCCATTTGTTGTAGAAATATGCAAACACCAATTTTCATAACGATTTCATTGCAAGGAAATAAACAAATAAATAAATGACTCAAACGAAAATTTATTTTGTTTATAAAAGCAGCGGAAAACATTTGTCCTTACAATGCAAAATCCATTGAAAACTACGTATTTCAAAAGGAAAATTTCTAACAAATCTATCATAACTATCTAAACTCAAAATCTAATCTTCAAGTCCATGCGATCAAGATCCATTCCTCGTGATTAGATTCATCTTTCTCTTTCATCAAGCTTCCTTTCTTTTCACCGAGCCTACAAAATATGCAATCTTATCACATCATGTATTAATAATCAATGAATAGGAACTTCACGGAGTAAGATAGTGGATTTTACCTGAAGCGCAGTCATACTCTTTGACTCTCCCATCTTTGGAATTTTTAGGCTCTTGGGGCAGACTTCTATCCAACGCCCTTTCTCTTGGCAGCAAACGCAGGTCGCTTCTTTTAGAACGTCCTCAGGAGCATGGTCAGTTGAATTTCCCAACAAATACGCTCCATTGCTTCGCTAAATCATTTCTGATTCAGCAGCAATGAGCATGTAAGTTAGGTCAATGAGGTTGTCATCATGATCCATCATATAATACTTTCTTTTGAACTCATTATATGATTCAGGAAGTGACTGCAAAACCCAATTTACAGCCAACTCATTCGGGAATGACACACCCAACATTATGAACCTATCAATGTGTGATTTCATTCCTAGAATGTGGACACACACGGGTTTACCATCTTCATGTTTCATTTCCAATAGGGCTTTAGTGATATTGAACCTTTCAATTCTTCGATCTTGTGGGTTAGGGAGAACAATTGAAGGAGGTGGAGGAAGTGAAGCATGATTTCTTGTTCCTCGATCAAATCGTGGAATACCATCTTCATGTGGAATTTGGGAAGACCATAGTTGTCGAACTTAGACATCTACAAACCGGGAGAAATAAATTCAAGTTAGTTGATTGATTGAGTCCTTAGAAAATCACCCAAATGAAATTCCAAGGCTAGGACCCAACACAATACGCTACAACCTAGAAAAGGGATGTCGTAATCTAGTTGCAGAATATTTGAAGGTAAGTGAATGACGATTCACTAATTTCCACCATGAAAAATGAAAAAGAAATTTAAGTTTTAAATCTATGAAAACTCCTAGATCCTTTGAGATTCATTGAACATTTCGATGGCATGTTTAAATCTCGATATGCCCCTCTTGTTTGTGACTGGGATGCCGAGGATCACAAAGCGGGTGTGAATAACCATGCAAACTTACATGGTGCCCTCACATGTTACACTCACCTATTCGATGTGCCGGTAAACCACACACGCTCCACCAAACTATGACAAACATTGAGTCACCCTTTGCTACCTTTGCTTAGAACCATTTAGTGTGCCGGTAAACCACACACGCTCCACTAACGTCTTCGCAAGGGCACAAAGTGTAATTTCATGGAATTGCATCAATTCACTTTTGCCTAAGTAACTAAGATTGGGAATTTGAAAAACATTTAGTTACTTTGTATTTCATTATACTTATAATGGAAGGTTTCGTCCGATCCTACCCGTTCGGCTAACGACCCTCCACTAGTCAAGAGTGCGGTAGGTAAGAGTGGATACCCATTCAATCGCCATATTATAGGCAATTTCCTTAAACACCCCTTATAGACCAGCTTCATGAATGAGGCCTACTAACGGTAAGACTGACTTTTACTCATACATATATATAATGTTAGACTTTTAATGTTATATATATAATATAGGGTGTATTTTACACTTTTAAAATACTAGGTGGTCAAATTTAATAATTATACTTTTAATTCAATTAAATTGCAAACCAAAACTTTTATGGATTTATTAAACCTCTTTTAATTATACACCTTAATTAATTAATAAAACCATAAGGGTGTGAATTGAACTTTTCAAAACATTACTAGGGTTTTAGAATTTAACATTCCTAATTAAACTTTTAATCAACTTTTAAATTCCAAAACTTGAGGGCAAGTTTTGAAACAATTCAAAACATTAGGGTTTAAAATTTAAATATACATCACAATTAAACTATTAATCAAAATTTAAATTCCAAAACTTGAGGGCAAGTTTTGAAACCTTTTTCAAAACATTAGGGTTTTAACTATTTAAATTTCAAAACAACAAAACTTTTGGGTTCAAATTTAAACTATAAAACCTAAAGGGGAAAATGTGAAACTTTTCATAACAACAAGGATCAAATAACAAATAATCTAAAATTAACAATTAATCACATAATTATCTATATTTTATTTATTTAATGAGTTCTTGCAAAACAATTTACCAATTTAATCAAAATAATTAATCAATTATCACATAAGGAAACAAATATTTTATTAATTGATAAATATCTTCAATTAGATCAAGAATATAGTCAAATATATCATAAAATCGGATTAATATTGATCTAATATGATAAGGCAACTATCCTTAAGCAAAAACAGCAAGAAATCCCGATTTTCCCTCCTTCTGACGAGCCGACTCGTCGAGTCAAGCATGGACTCGGCGAGTCCAGCCCCCAGAAACACAAAAAACGAATTTTTCAAACATATAATGCTTCAATACAATAGAAACCAATCTAGGCTTCGATACCACCACTACTAGAAAAACAACCTTTTATGACGCTCATTGCGCCTCGTAAAAGGCTTAGACGACGCGCAAATGCGCGTCAAGGAAGGCCCTGTCATAAAGAGAGAGGACGCGCTTTTGCGCGTTGTCTATAGACGACGCACATTTACGACGCGCAGTTACGACACGCGTTTACGACACACAATGCATATCAAGGAAGGCCCTGTCATAAAGGAAAACGACATGCATTCGCGTGTCGTAGGCTTACGATGCGCGTATTAATGACACGCAATGCGTATCAAGAAATCCATTGTCAAGAAAGGCCATGTCATAAATGAAGATGACACACATTTTTGCGTATCATATTTTTAAATGTTAAAAAAAATATATTATTTATAGATTTACTTATTTTCAAATTAAATTTGTATTTAATGTTTCATAATAAAAAATAAAATATCATATACAAAAAATAAAATCCACTTCATAAATTTAATGTCATACAATTCTATTTCTTACAATATATAAATTTGCATCTAATCTACTATGTATATCAAATTCCAACTAAGTAAAGTTGCATCTTGCATTTCATAATTCTTTAAGACTAATGCTCCAAACAGCTGATTATATGGATAAGCAGTTGTACATTGGCCCATCTCACACAATAATGACTTAGCCAAATTCAACTCCAAGTCTTTACTGCATCTTGCTGATAATGCTACAAGATTTAAATCAAGTGGCTTCATATTCCTTTCTTCCATCAACTTTACCTGATACACAAAATACACAGAAACAAAAAAACATTGTAGAGGAAGGGGTAATTTGGGAAAATGTGAGGGGTATAATATAATAAGATTTAAATCCTGACCTTATCTTTGACGATGTTGTTATGGGAATCCTTATTGATCCCGATCAGGGGCAATAAGAGCAAAGCAAATAAATTGATGTTTGTTTTTTAAATAATAAATTAAATTAGCCTTAATATAAATTGATACATTTAGGGGGAGTTTGTTTTTTAAAATTATTAACCACTTACTGGACTAAAATGTCTAACCTGGTACCATAACTCTTACCAGTGACATAAATCCATGAATTCAAACAAAAATAAGAAATTTATATGTAATATTTCTTTTGTAATGTATTCGAATATTAGCTAATTCATTCTGCATATGGAATACCTGCTGAGGTCAAGGCAACAAATTGCTGCTAAACTAGAGATGAGGCAACCCATTAGAAGCCTTCTTGAAAGTAAAACTTGATAATGGGCCAGGCGAAGAGTAAAGACGTAAATGCCCTTCCTTATAAATCATGTGTTATTATGATTATGCTTAAAGTAAAAGAAAGAACATAAAGAATGGGAATGGAGGTTGAGTACCTTATGAAGTAATAGTAGAAGAAATCAGCATAAAGAGCTGTTTGTATTAAGCCAGAGAACTAGGCTGAAAACAAACAAAACAAAAGTCAAATGAAATACATGTATAGACAATAAGAATAAGAGAAAAGCTTTAACTTACATATCCATCCATTGAAATGGGGCTGTGTGAGATACCAAAAAATCCAGTTGAGAAATGGGGTTGTGTGAGATACCAAGAAATGGGGCTGTGTCAACATTTACACTTCGCTGCAGCAGAACCAACTGTGGGAGAATGACAACAGCTTCCAAATAGATAGAAAATGCCCAACATATTTGCACATTCCTAATAATATTAAAACTATCCAAACTTTTCTGTTGCTACATTTTTATATCTTTATAACACTCCAGTTAGGCTAAGCTTTTTTTGGGGGAGGGCATTTAGGTCTTTTGGACAAGAGCCAGTCCATATTAAAATAGTCGTTTATATCCCTTCTAATTATACTCCTGTGGAACATGTGCTTCAAATGTACTCCACTAGCAATCAACCATTACACCATCAACATTAAAATCAGTACAAGATCAACATTAATATCTAATTGTTTTTAGCTGAAAGTTTTAGTGGTTGTGGATAATGATATTTGACCTGAAAAGGGCTTTTTCAGCACCAAGGATTTGAAGGGTAAAAGAAGATCATTTTGAAAGAAACAGCAAGGGCAAAAAGGTAATTAAACATATAAATGAGTTAACCTTGAGTTCTTTTCATTTTTAATTCAAGTATTATCATGATATGATAAGGGGGAGAAAGAGATAAATGAGTTACCTTATTTTCCTTATAACATAAAGCACTATAGTGAAGCTTGTAGCGTCAAAACCTGTACAACCATAATATAAATAATTCAATTTTCATATATAACAAGAATTAGCAATTTATTAATTTTTTTTAAATTGAAACCTGAACAGGTAACTGAACAACTCGTTCATCTAAACCTAGATTTGGCCTTGACATTTGAGATGCAATTGATATTAAAAAATTCCTTGCGCTCATTATGTCCCATAAAAAGTTGTATAAACCAAGAAATCGATCATCATAGGATTGATCCAACAAGTTTAAAAGATACTCCATTGTCTTTTGCAGGATTGCCATTGGTCTTATCAGTGCAGCTTCCCTCTCAGTTGTCCTAGTGTACTTGAAATAAGTAAAAATAAAAATTTTAATTATACATATTATAATCAAGAAATATAAATAAAGGGTGGTGATATTGCCACTGCAAATTTTAATCCTTCCACTTAAATAAACTGTGAATTGAAAACTATGCCCTTATTTTATTAAAAGAAAGCAATCCTATTTTGTTTTCACAAAACGCACATCTAGCAAACTAATAACCAATTCATCGTCGATAGTATCAACCTTTTTTGAGTTTCGGATTCATCTGTGTTATCCATTTCTTAATTTTGATTATGATACGAATTTCTACTTTTACAAATGATTGAATACCCACATCATATTTATGACTTATGAGGGAAACAACCAGGCCAAGATCATGGGATTTTTAGGAAAAAAAAAGATTGATATTTCTCTCTTTTAAATAAATAGGGGCATAATTGACAATTTATATTTTTTTCCATAAAAAATTAAAGTGGCAATATCAGCTCCTGTAAATAAAACAGAATTCCAAACATCCCCTTACCTTCTTAACTGCAAGAGATTCAGTTGTCTGATTTCTATTTCCATCCAAACGTTCATATTGATCAAGATCTCCTTTCCTCTCTCTCTCTCTCTCTCTCTCTCTCTCTCTCTCTGCTCTTTCTTGCTCTATATAAAAATAAAAAAACAAAAATTAAATTCAAGGCCTCAAGGGACTCAAATGGTATTTCCATGAACAAAAAGATACCTGGACACATATCTTTTCGTCTCTAAATCGGGCCAATCTTTTCGCTTTAGCTTGCAATTCTCTGTAGTAGAGTATGTAAGAAATAGAAAAGTCCTTATATATATGTTTAGCTCAATAAGTTACCTTTCACTGTCATCAAGAACAGGATCATTTGATGGTGTAAAAGGTAATTTGCTCCGTTTTGGAACAGGTATATAACTTGGATTGATTGCAAGTGTTTCAGGTTTATCAAGATCAGTGTATTGTGGAGACCAAATATGATTTTCTGGATCAGTGTATGGATTGTGTCTTGTAGTTGATCTTGGAGGACATACAGAAGGCCTAGAAAGTGAACAAAAAGAATATTGTTCATTGTTCAATAACCTGAATGATGATAGTAAGTGTAATTGTTATCTTGAAAAAGAAAAGAAAGAAAGTAACTTGCCTCACTACAATAGTTCTTGAGTTTTGCAGGATGTCTTTATAGGTAGGGAGTAAAGGTGGTGATCTTGTTCTTTTCAAATCTTGAACTTGATTTTTGGCAGGAGACTCGGTTCTAGGGCTATGTGATGGATTAATAGGTTGTAGTGCAGAACCTTGATTAACTTGGGGTTTTTGAGAAGAAGCATTGAACCTAAGGAGATTAGAGCTATTAGTGACTTCTAAGATACACTTAAAGAGATTACTCATATACATAATGTAAATCTGACTGAAATCTTAAGAAGACGATACCATGTATATGGTGATTGGGAAGGAGGTCGAAAACCAAAGGAGAGTTATTGTTTTTGAGTACTAGTACCAGTACCAGGACCTGAGTTCTTGTCAAATCCCTGAGTTGACATTTTATTAATTCATTCGGAAAGTATGTGTCTTGCACTGAATCTCCTCACTGTTTGAGTATCAGAATGATGAACATGACCTACAAAAAATGTATGTTGATCTCTGTTTAGTAACAAATTTCATATAAATCACAACTCAAGGGTCTGTTTGTGAAGGTGTAATAAGGGTTTTCAATGCCTATCGCAAATGAGAACCTTTTTTTTCATTGAATTGTCGTTTTTCAGGTTTCTTGAGGGTGTTCTGTTTTTCTATAAAACTAACTTTTGTGCATTCGAAATGGTCAGCCACGACTGAGTTGAAGAGAACAATATTTGCTTATAGCAAACAATATGAAATTACGAATGTTAAACACCAACAAATTAATTTTAGCTTTTGTTAAAATTGACAATGAATTAGATGAAGACAAACCTGTGTCAAAATTAACGGGGAAGATAGAGTTGTTGATTTGAGGATGAACCATCAATTTCACACTTTAGGGTTTTTCTTTGGCTCGTTTGAAATGGTGTCAGAGAAGAGCAAGAATGAGCGAAGTGTGCGTGTGCTTGTTTTCGTAATGTATTCTGGTAAGAGCTGAAGATCCAGAGAGCTTCTAGCTCTAACTCATGTAAAATAGGATCAAACATGTGTTAAAATTGGGTAAAATAGATAACTACATGTGTGTACTCAGTGCAAAAGAAGAGTTGAGATATCAAATTGAGACAGGAGAAGAAAACGTCGACTTAGTCAAACCATTTATAGTGTTTCCTATTCTCTCAATCCCTCCTCCGATTTCTTAAACCTGTGCTTCATTGTATCGCCATCGGAGATAGAGACATAGGGAATGAATGAGCTATTAGAGGCGTTGCTGTCTACCTACCAATTTATTCCAACTCATAAGTAGCCTGCGTCGACCATGAGTGCAATGTTGCAGTGGTTTGTTAGAGATAGACAGAAAGGAAGGACATGGATGGTGGAAAAGGGTGGCCTGGTGGTTCTAGGGTTTTTATACAAATGGTGGTGTTAGTAACCAACGATGTTGGTGCGAAATAGTGGTGGTGATCTTGTGGTATCTTGTGTCGGTGGTATATTGGGGCTTTATTAGAGACAATGGTGAACCAGAGAGAAGACGAAGGGTGGTGGGTGGTTGTCGAGCAGCAGGGGTAGAGAGAGTAAATCAGGAGAAGTTAAGCTTAAAATAAAATAAAACCCTAGCACATCCTAGATAGAAGGAAGATGGTGATGGCTTAGGGTTGCACAGAGAATAGAGGGAGAGAATGGAAGGAGATCAAGAGGATAGAGTGGAGAAGCGGACACTTAAATTTTTTAGAATTTTAGAGAATTCATTTTCCCCCTTAAAAACGCGCGTCTAATTAAAAAAATATAAAGCGACATTTCTAGATGACACACACTTAACATAAGCGCCCTCCATGTTTGTAATTTTTTTTGTTGGACAATAATTTAAGGGCACACAAAAATGCGTGTCTTTTATGCTTCAAATTTTGCAAATCTGGCATTATTTTTTAGGGCACGTACAAATGAGTGTCCTCTATCAGCGCGTGTCATTGTTTGCACGTCATTAAAGGGCTGTTTTCTATTAGTGCACTGATGGGTTTTGGTCATAAGAACATCCTATGTCCTCATACAAACCCTAATGCTTGGATCTAGGTTTCTCTATTGTACATGCAAGTTATCCAAGACTATAAACCCTAATTCTAACATACAAGTAATCATATTAACATGATAATGAGTTTAAGATCATACCTTGATTGTTATGTAGCAATAACAATCCCAAATCTCCTTGTATTGACTTTAGAAAGCTTAGAGTCACAAATGTCACTCCTCTAATGGTTCGCAAACACCATAAGCAAGAGGATGAAGAGGAGAGAGGACGGAGGCTGCCCAAAACGTGTTCTCACCCTAGAGGAGAAGTTCCCCACGTTTTTTAGCCTTAAGGGTTCTATATATAGTGAGGCTATTAGGGTTATCTAACAAGGAAACCCTAATTTGGATGCTTAAGCCCAAAGCAACCCATAGACTCCTTTAATTAAGGCCTTGTACGATTTCCTTATGGGCTTCCCCATAGAGTTTGTCCACTCCTTAATTTAAGACAATCCATAGCCCAAATTGCAATTATCTTATAATTACAATTCCAGTCCCTTAAGTTTAATTAATCTCTTTTAGTCACAAAACTAATTACCAATTAATTATTAACTAATATTAATTAAACAATATGATTTCTCCTTTAATATATTATTCTCATAATATATTAATAAATCATATTTAATCCTTTCTCTCCATAATTCATCCTATCAAGTTGCTTTAGTGAAGGCAACCCAAAAGGACCATGCACCATCGGGTCAAGTACATACCAAAATAGTTATGGACTCAGACACTAATCCAACATCAACTAATTATGAAAATAAGCTAACAAGCTTTGAAGATCGGGGACGAAGATCGGGATGATACTTGAGAGGATTTGGGTCAAATGGAAGGAAGGAATGAAGAAATGGCCACCTCTTCACCATATAAGCAAGAGTTTACGGCCCACATGGAGTTTACGGCCGTAAACTCCCATGTGTTGGTTGTGAACTCCTTTCAGAGCTTTATACCTTGTTCAAGAGTTGTTTCCTTGTGAGTTTGAAGCATTTGGTGGGCTCTCTTGATGTTTTGGAGTGGGAAAAAGATTAGATCAAGAAGGAGAAGAGGAGGTCAAGCATCTTTGAGCTTTCTCAGTGTGTTCCCTAAGGTATGACTCGATTTTCCCCTTGCTTTCATGCTTATAGTCCCTTATAGCTCCATTAAAGTCTGTCTTGAACCATTTCCAAGCTTGTGTATGTGTGGGGGTTCGTAATAAGCTGAGTAACCTCTAGATCTAGGCATGGTTGAGCTCCAGGAGCTCAGATTTACTGCCTTTATGGACCTATGTTGCATGAAAACCTTAGATCTACTCTTTTGGTGCATTTTGAACCCTAAAACCCTCATAGATGGATATTTACACGTAAAGTTGGAAACTTTACGTGTTATTCATGCTCTAGGAGCCCAGATCTACGAATGGCATGGACTGGATTCGAGCAAAATTGCGTTTATAGCTCTTGCATGAAGCAGACTCGGCGAGTCACTCATCCGACTCGGTGAGTCTGGTCGCGAGTCTCCGAGATTGTCCCCTTTTAGCTGTGTCGAGTTGTGTAGTGAGTCCAGCGTGGACTCGGTGAGTTGGAAGCCTAAAACTCACCCATAATGGAACTCGGCGAGTCGATGCCCAGACTCGACGAGTTCAAGGCAATCTCCTTAGATCAAGAACAAACTCGGCAAGTTGCTCATACAACTCGGCGAGTCACAGTATAAATTGATCATCGGATGAAGATGAACTCGGCGAGTAGGATGAAGGACTTGAACATCAGTTTGGGTAGGAGAACTCGTCGAGTCAACGCCTAACTCAACGAGTAGAAGCAAAATTCAGGACAGTTGTTTGGACATAGACTCGGCGAGTTGGCGATCCAACTCGGCGAGTCGGGTCAATTGAAAGTTGACTCTGACTTTGACTTAGGGCATGATCAGGGGTAGAATGGTCATTTTACCCAAAGGACAGTTAGCAGTATTTGACTAAGTGTTTGGTGGGAATTTCAGCCGCAGGATTTCCGGAGCAACAGTAGCAGACAGACTATTCCCACACAGATCAGCAGCTACTACGAGGTGAGTTACCTTCCAGTAGCGGTGGGTCTAAGGCCACAATGTCGGCCCACCGATAGGAGGTGTATGATTAGATGATTGTCTTTGTGATATTCATCTAGGGTTGCTACTACCTATGATATGTTTATGTGTTAGTGACAGTAGGGGTAGATAGTCCCCCAGAACACCGGTCGATAGGGCCGAAGGGGCGGTCACGCCCAGCCATGCTAGATAGACTATGTGATATATGTGTTATTTGGTAGTAGTTGGGGTGAAATAGTCCCCGGTATCCGGTCGAGAGGAACGAAGGGGAACCAGCACCCAGATATGCTAGGCAGTATCCAGTCGAGAGGACCGAAGGGAGGCCAACACCCAGATATGCTAGGCAGTATCCGGTCGAGAGGACCGAAGGGGTAGGTCGGGCACCCGGATATGCCTGATAATTTATGTATGTTATGTGATTGTATGGTATGTAGTACAATGGGAGAACTCACTAAGCTTTGTTCTTATAGTTTATAGTTTTGGTTTCAGGTACCTCTTCATCAAAGGGGAACAAGCTGGCACGGTTACGGCACATCATGCACACATGCTGGTTTCCACATCTATTAGATTTACCTGGGATTTATACTCTGATATTTTGATTGGTTGTATGATTTGGCTTTTATACATGGTTTACGATGTGATGTGGTTGATCAAACAATGTTTTTAATTATTAACGTTTTCTAAAGTAATGTTTTAAAAACAAAATTTTTGGATGTGAAAATTTGGATCGTTACAAGTTGGTATCAGAGCCTTGGTTTGAGGGATTCGGGCACACCTTCGGGGGTGTTTGAACTCAAATCGAGGGATTAAAAGATTTTGGAAAGAGAAAATGTTTTCTAAAAGGTTAAGTAAAGGGTTTTAAGAAAGAACAATGTGTGTGATGTGCGCGACCGACCAAGCTCAAGTAAGTATTCCCCAATGTACCCATACAAGTTTATTTATGTTTATCAGTTTCTGTAGAACAACATGCTAGGATAGGACTAAGGATCTAGGAGTGGTGCCTTATGTGCCTGCTTTATGTGCTTCCGTATATGAAAGAGTTTCATGCTAGAATTAAGTAGACAACAGTAGCGTAGCATGTTTAGGTTATTCATGATAGTATGAGTTTAGCTTTGTATGCTAGTTCAGTTCTTTCTACGAGGATAGAGTTGCTTAAGATTGTTTCCCTTATGTCCAAATGTTGTTTGCTTTGTGCTATGTAGGCCTTGAAGTGATGGGAGTTAACTGTTAGGTGAATACGTTAAAGTCACATGCGATCAGGGTTGAATAATCTTAGAGTGTTGGATTTGACTCTATTGCGTAGCTCTTGTTTGAGTCTTAACCGTTGTAGAGATGAGTCCCTTACTCGAAGGATTATCCGAGCCTCAGCACATCTGATTGTATCCAGTTAACAGTTAATTGGCATTACCAAGAGGCCTGCAGCAGCTGAGGACCGGATAGAGTAGAGTCAGAGGTTTCCTAGGGTAAGCCTAGGATAAAGAGTAGCAGTGATCAGCAGTAGGGGAAGGGACCTGGTTGAGTCGAGGCGGTCCTTGGGGAAGGTACGGATAGATGTGGAAGGTAGTATGGGCCCGTACTACTGAAACCAGAGGATCCGTACCCGAACCGATGAAGGCTAAGATAAGACTAGGGAACTTGTAGTGGGTGGGATCCCTCCAGGGGTATCAGTATCGCTAACAGTTGTTATTTCTTTGTATTTCAGAATGGTGGTACTACACCCGAGGCCAGCAGTTGGCAGTTCAGGAGAGGGATCGGGTTCGGTATCAGGTTCCGAGCCAGTAGATGAGAGGCTGCGCGAGTTCATCGCGTCAGAGATCACCAGAGATATCCTTGAGTCGACCCCTATTATCTTATGGTCGATCAAGGAAGGGATCATTAAGTTGACGGAGGATCGCCTCAGGACGTTAAGGAGCGACATGGCATCTGGCCAGTCGGGATCTCGCACGCTGTCCTTTAAGGACTTCAAGGGCAGTGGTGCGCCGGATTTCCACGAGGTGAAGGAACCCATTGTTGCCAGGCGATGGATTGCAGACATCGAGTCTGCACAGTTGACTAACTTTTGCCCCGAGGGGTCGAAGGTGAGGTATGCAGCAGGGTGT